TTATTTTGGAGAAAGGTGAGTGGGTCCTCGGAGGCCTAGGTAAATAGCCTGGGGCCGTCTGTCAGCTTGTGGTGGGTACCTCTGGTCACCTCTACTATGAAACAAATCTTCCCTGGTTGGTGAGATTCCTGGGAGGTGACTGACAGCAGCTGAGTTGCTTTGGGAGGCTCTGTCTGTCTGCAGGCAGATAACAGAAGTTCAGTGGAAGCCCCTGGCAGTTTTCTCTTCCCCAGGGGCCCTCAGTGTCAAGTCCACAGTGACAGATGTAGGGTGGCATTTCCTGAGCTGCTTCCATTTGCACAACATGGCTGGGGTGTTCTTTGCCCCTCTCTCCTTCCCTGGTCAGGATGGAATGTGGACACGCTTGCTGCAGCCGCACCAGGCTTCCTTGACCACGAGGTGTCAGCAGCAGTTAAGAGTGACAGAGCTGGAATGCAATGGCAGCCGCCTATTACACCAGTAGGCGGACCCACAGACCAATGTGTTCCCTGAGCCCATGGATGAATGTCACTGAGTCAACTTTAAACACAGAGAAACAATGGGAAAGCGAGAGGGCAAGTCAACAGCACATTTCAGGTAGTTTGTGACTGAGACACCTACCTCGATCCTTGATTACAAATGTCATGTATTTCACCTCCCATGGTCCCCGTGCCCACCCCATCGGGTTTCCCCACTGACAGATGGTTTTGACAACTGGAGATGGTGATGATCAAAGGGGCTCAGCAGTTGGAAGTTAACTTGGAACCAACAGTTGCTTAATTGGAAAGAGTCAGGGAGGAGTACTCAGCCGCCCATGCCATTCCTCCTTTCACAGTCTGGGCCTGTGAAAGCTGAATTCCTGGTATGCGGCTGCTATGCTAGCTTGCTTGCTAGAATATGTAGAGAGTACACAAGCCCCTGGGCGGGAACTGACAGGATCAGGGTAGTTCCAGGGCCCTGCTGCTGGTGGCAAGAGACTGAATGGATAGGAGGGAAAAGTTAGTGATGAAAGGGAATAAAGATCCCAGTCAAACAAATAGCAACAGTGAATACAAGAATCCAATCAGAGCTGTTGAAAGGATTTCACTCAGGGTGTCTTCAAATTGATTGTGTTTCCTCTGTGGCAGCCATTAAGATGCTTCAGTGGGCAAGATAGAGCCTACCCTCCGAAAGCTGTCTCCCCAGGGGAAGAACAGAGACCACAAGCTAACAACTCGGCAAGTTCAAGTAGAGAGGAATCCTGACTGCTGTGAAGAAATGAGAAGTTGTGGGACAGTGACTGGGAGATGCTGAAGTTTCAACATCCAGGAGTCAGCTCCATGGCGCAGTGGGTTGATCCTCCACCTGCAGTGCTGGCATCCCATATGGGCGCCGGGTTCTAGTCCCTGTTGCCCCTCTTCCAATCCAGCTCTCTGCTGTGGCCTGGGAAGGCAGTGCAGGATGGCCCAAGTGTTTGGGCCTCTGCACCCACATGGGAGGCCAGGAAGAGGCACCTGGCTCCTGGCTTCAGAGAGGCATGGTTCCGGCTGTTGTGGCCATCTGGGGAGTGAGTGAATCAATGGAAGGAAGACCTTTCTATCTGTCTCCCTCGCTCACTGTCTGTAACTCTACCTCTCAAATAAATAAACAAAATCTTTAAAAAAAAAAAAGAGTAAACATACAATAATTCAAAGAAATTGTTGGTTCAAAAAACTAGAGGCAGGAAGGAGTTTGTGCTCAAAAAACACAAGGCCTGTGTGGTAGAAGATTCATGATCAAAAGTAAACACTTAATGATGAGATTGGAGGTTAAACAGATGCCTCAACATGAGGAAAACTGTTGAGATTTTGAAAACTTTGCCTGCTTTGTCCAGATTGGATTTTATGGGATTAAAAACAGAAGTAGCAGGGGCCGGCACTATGGCATAGTGGGTAAAAGTGCCACCTGCCGTGCCAGCATCCCATTTGGGCTCAGTTCAAATCCCAGCTGCTCCACTTCCAATCCGCCTCTCTGCTATGGCTGGGGAAAGTAGTAAAGACGGCTCAAGTGCTTGAGCCTTTGCACCCACGTGGGAGATCCAGAGAAAGCTCCTGAATACTGGCTTTAGTTTGGCTGAGCTCCAGCATTGCAGATGGAAGATATCTCTCTATCTGCCTCTACCTCTCTGTAACTCTGCCTTTCAAATAAATAAATAAATATTTCTCAAAAGTTATTTTAAAAAATAGAAGTAGCAAATGTTTTGTTGTACCTGAGCGAGTGTAAACAAATGAGCACCACACAGTGATAAAATCTGATGGTCCTTTATTGCCAGCAGTGGAGAGCGGGCTCATGCCCTAAAGAACACTTGACCCTGAAGCCCAAAGCAAGAGGATCTATAAAAGCAAAAACCACGAAATCGGGAGGGGTTGCTAGGATCAGGGGAATACATGGTTACTGGGGTCAAGCTGACCTAAAACCTATGCGAAACTAGTATCAATTATAATCTTGACAATACCAGTTACAATCTTAACAAGTCCAATTATAATCTTGGCATTCATCTAGGTATTGGTTTTAATCATATGTAGGACATAGACAAATTACATTTTTATCATCAAGCCAGGTGTGGCCTATCCACTTCCAAGCTTGAGCGATCATGCTAGGGGGTTTCTGTGCTCTGCCAAGAGTGATGTAGTGGACTGCTATTGTTTAACTGTTTTAGCTCATAGTTTCAGACCAGAGTCTCATGGTGTGGGGGGCACCTTCCCAGAATGGAGTCTCCGATTCTCCAGAATGGAGTCCCTACTGTCAAGGTGTTACTTCATTTAGAGTAGTCATTAAGATGCCCACATCTGGGGTAGGTATTACAGGGCAGCAGGTGAAGTTGCCATTTGGGATGCCCACAGCCCTTATCAGAGAGCTTGGCACCAAGCCCGGCTGTGATTCTGGCCAAGCTGGCCACTGGTGCACCTGGACTACAGCAGATTATGTGCCAAGTACTTGGCACGAGGGATTGCACGCTCACCCACTGCCCTATGGTACTGTTGAACTTCTCAGATTGATGCTGCAGAACCATAAAACATGAGGTTTGGGAGACTGGGGTGTGACAATTTTTAAAACCCCTTAAGCATTCTACTGGAGATACATATTAAGTGGATAGCTGTATATGTGAGTCTGGAGTTCAGAAACAAGATCAGAACTGGACGTAGACATTCTGAAAGTTTTCCAATCGAAATTTTAATGTTGCCAGCATAGAATGAGTTGAATTTTTACCATGAAAACACTTCAAACTTTAGAAAAGGAGGCAGGAAAAAAAATCCTGAATAGCGATGGGTGGGTGCTGGCACTGTTGCGCAGTGGGTTAACGCCCTGGCCTGAAGCATCCCATATGACCACCAATTCGATACCCGGTTGCTCCACTTTGCATTCAGCTCTCTGCTGTGGCCTAGGAAAGCAGTAGAAGATGGCCAAGTCATTGGGCCCCTGTACTTGCTTGGGAGACCCAGAGGAAGCTCCTGGCTCCTGACTTTGGATCAGCACAGCTCTGGCTGTTGCGGAGTCAACAATCAGAAGGAACACCTCTCCCTCTCTGCCTCTCCTTTCTGTGGAATTCTGACTTTCAAATAAATAAATAAACCTTTAAAAAAAATAGTGATGAGTGAACCTAGACAAAGACCAGAGCAGGAACCTGGAGATTATTATCTCAGAAGAGGGGATGTTGACAGGGGGTGTGATTTACATAAAGACCCAAGCTTTGGACATGTTTATATAGAAATTGCTGGGAGTTTGGGTAATGGGTCCTAAAACAGATATAAACATCTCAAAAATAAAATTAGAAAAAAAAGTTTGATGAATACAAGGGAAAAAATCAAATCATTCCCTGCCATCCATCCATTTCCTAATCAACATTAAGCATAAACTGTGTTGTGATGCCTATAACTGTTGCTAAAATAAGGCATTTTGGTACTGAAGAAGCATGGTCATTGAATTTTCCCCTTTCAAGAGAATTCCATGTAAGCGTGTGTGTTTGATATGTGTCCATATTCCTCAATCCTCCTACTGGAGTACTTTGGCAGAGTCTACCGTCCCTGTGGCCCCAAGTATAATTACAAACTTGCTGTACCCAAGGGCTTCTGCATATTTTTGTTTTCACATTTTAAATTTATCTTCAATTATTTGAAAGTAGGGTGGGGGGTACAGAGATCTCCAAGCCACTGGTGCACTCAACAGCCAGTCTAGGCCAGGCCAAGGCAAAGGGCCAGGAACTCTGTACAGGTCTCCCACATGGGCAGCAGCGACCCAGGCATTGTCAGCTGTCTCCCAGGACAACTCATAAGAAGGAAGATGAAATTCATGAACATTTCACTTATTGACTACTCCCCTCCACGCAATAAAATTTAATGAAAATAAAATATTTTTAAGGAAATTTTGGAGGGGCCAGAACTGTTGCACACCGGGTTAAGCTGCCACCTGCAATGCCAGCATCCTTTATGGGCGCTGGTTCAAGTCCTGGTGCTCCACTTCCGATCAAGCACTGTGCCTTGTGGCCTAGGAAAGCAGTAGAAGATAGCTCAAAAATAAAGAAAATTTGGAGTCCAGTTCTCTTATGTCTTTTCCAAGATCTTGCCTGACATCAGCTATTGAAAAGTCCTGGCTACCAAGTCAGGCAATATTGTCATTTCCCACTTTCTTATAAAATGTTGAGCAAGTGAGTATCAGAATGCCTAGGTCTCTCAAAGTGTCACAAGTTATTTCAATCAGAAATGACCTTTCTAGTCCGAAAGAGTTCTCCCAGGTCCCTGTGACTGCTGCTGTTATGGAGAATCCAAAACAGTCTGGTTTCCTTGGGGCAAATCTCTAAACCATCCTACAGCTGGGGCACACGGAAAAGCCAAAAATGCTTGGCTTTTATGGAGTTAGCTTAACAAAGGGCGTTCAGATTCTAAACGAATATTAATGCGCGCCGGAGCAGTGTAATCAGAGCATGGGATTTTCGTTAGAGGACAAAATGTGAAAGCTACTAGGATGGAATCCGGGATTGCCCCTCGGATACAACCGACTACCAATCAATTTCAAACACAGCACTGAGATTTATTTGCCATCAATGCATAGGACTGAAAGCATGAACCAATAGGTGTGCAGGTCTTGTATTTGCGAACGAATGCGGGGACACTTGTGACGTGACGTCACGCACTAAGCACTCTAAACGAAGTAACATGGCAACAGGATACTGAACTAGCGAGAATAATGGATTACATTAACTCCCAAACACAGCCTCTTTTACAGAAAAAGTGATTGGCTCTGAAAAGAGCCTTTGGGTTTTCGGTGAGCTCACGGCCGAGGTCTTAGGCCCGCTCCCCGCGGATGCGGCGCGCCAGCTGGATGTCTTTGGGCATGATGGTGACGCGCTTGGCGTGGATGGCGCACAGGTTGGTGTCCTCGAAGAGGCCGACGAGGTAGGCCTCGCAGGCCTCCTGCAGCGCCATGACGGCCGAGCTCTGGAAGCGCAGGTCCGTCTTGAAGTCCTGCGCGATCTCGCGCACCAGGCGCTGGAACGGCAGCTTGCGGATGAGCAGCTCGGTGGACTTCTGGTAGCGCCGGATCTCGCGCAGCGCCACCGTGCCGGGCCGGTAGCGGTGCGGCTTCTTGACGCCGCCCGTGGCCGGCGCGCTCTTGCGGGCCGCCTTGGTGGCCAGCTGCTTACGCGGCGCCTTGCCGCCCGTCGACTTACGCGCTGTCTGCTTAGTGCGAGCCATGGCAAGTGTCTTTAAGAGTCGATGGTACAAAATGAAAGCGGCCCCGTATATATAACACGAGTGCCGTTCTGATTGGACAGGGCGCGCACTCAGCTGGGAGTAGGAGCAAAGGGATTGGTGGAAATGCCGATGATGCCGTCACGTGACCCTACTATGGTTTCCGAGCAAATAAGACATTTGCAGATAATCCACCGCTTTGTCTCGGGGTTTCGCCTATTCTGGTCTATTCTGTCCTTATGCGCTTTTTTAAAAAATATTTTTGTTTTCTCCGTTTAATGTCAGTGACGATGGTAGCTCTAACTAGGTGAAAGTTTAATCCTTAGCACCTGAAACAGGCTTGCTTTTGCTCTTTCCAAAAAGGCCCTGGAGCTTTAAAGTGGTTTTTTTTTTAGTGAGTTTTCTTTTTCTTGGAACTCTTAAATTTATAAAAACGAATTTATTACCAATGTTTTGTGTTCTCTAGTTCAACTTTTAGGAGGAACCCCATGACAATTTACTGAGTAACAGTTTAAACGTCGTGTTAAAATTACTAACACTTAATATGCACAATGTAACATTATTATATGCAATCGTCTGGCACTCTTACCATTCCAACTAGTTTGTGTACACTGGTGCGAGTATCTAAACTTGCATCAAAGAGAATACCTGGGATTATAAAATTATTCCTAAAGTCCCCCTGGTACCAGATTTAGTTTTATTCCAAATCACTGGTTAGAATCAGGGCTATAGTTTTTAATGTTGATCTGTAAAAACGGCTGAGTTCTAGATCCTTTGACATACACATTTCCTGAGAAGTTAACATTCAAAATGGTGCTTAGTTTGAATGTTACACGCCTAACCTCAATAAAGCATTCAATTTGCATGCAAATACAAGTTAAATTGTTACAAATGGAAGGAGTTCCCTAAGAGTAAAATTCCTGGAAGCATAAACTCTGGGGAAGCTGCGACTCAATTCATGCTTTAAAGCACTGTGAACTACGTACTTGCAGTGGAAGCTCTTTTATGGAACGTGTGGTGGCTCTGAAAAGAGCCTTTGGTTTAATAGAGGTTATGGACGCCGGCGGCTTTACTTGCCCTTGGCCTTGTGGTGGCTCTCGGTCTTCTTGGGCAGCAGCACGGCCTGGATGTTGGGCAGCACGCCGCCCTGCGCGATGGTGACGCGGCCCAGCAGCTTGTTGAGCTCCTCGTCGTTGCGGATGGCCAGCTGCAGGTGGCGCGGGATGATGCGCGTCTTCTTGTTGTCGCGCGCCGCGTTGCCCGCCAGCTCCAGGATCTCGGCCGTCAGGTACTCGAGCACGGCCGCCAGGTACACCGGGGCGCCGGCGCCCACGCGCTCCGAGTAGTTGCCCTTGCGCAGCAGGCGGTGCACGCGGCCCACGGGGAACTGGAGCCCGGCCCGGGAAGAGCGGGTCTTGGCCTTGGCACGCGCCTTTCCACCTTGTTTACCGCGTCCGGACATCTCAGCAGCGTGGGAGCGTGAACTCACAAAAAGGAAGGATCGTCAAGTGTGGATCTCCAACCCACTTATGAAGTAATTATACTTACAAGCCGAATGCAAAATTCCCTTCGTGATTGGTTCAAACCAGCCATACAATTCTAACCAATTAAAAAGTGAAATCTGGAATCACCTAATTTGCATAGAAGCTTGCTCGAAGACACAACCCGCCCAATCAAACTGCATGATTTTAAGCACCCGTTTTGCATGCAGGCTCTACAAATGCTACTAGCGTTGGTAGCAGACTTCGTCGCGTCCTCTTTCGTTGAGAACTTGGATCTCTTTGTTTAGATCTGTTGCAGCCATGCCTGAGCCCGCGAAGTCTGCGCCGGCCCCGAAGAAGGGCTCCAAGAAGGCGGTGACCAAGGCGCAGAAGAAGGACGGCAAGAAGCGCAAGCGCAGCCGCAAGGAGAGCTACTCGGTCTACGTGTACAAGGTGCTCAAGCAGGTGCACCCCGACACCGGCATCTCGTCCAAGGCCATGGGCATCATGAACTCGTTCGTCAACGACATCTTCGAGCGCATCGCCGGCGAGGCCTCGCGCCTGGCGCACTACAACAAGCGCTCCACCATCACGTCGCGCGAGATCCAGACGGCCGTGCGCCTGCTGCTGCCTGGTGAGCTGGCCAAGCACGCCGTGTCCGAGGGCACCAAGGCCGTCACCAAGTATACCAGCTCCAAGTGAGCGCCCGAATTGGAGCCACTACCCCTCACCCCAAAGGCTCTTTTCAGAGCCAACTCCTTTTTCAGTATAAGAGCTGCACATTTCATGGTATGACTCGCACATTTGATACAGCTTATATCTGGGTTTCCATGTTCCTAGCATATGGTACTAGTACTGTACAAAGTCAGACTACAAATGCGGTGGGTGTGGTGAAAGGTTAATTGCAGATCTCTTGCTTCTGTTCATACTGGCTTTGTTTACTATGGCTAAGGGTGTATCTTGTGGAACAATGGGCAGAAAACTCCAAGTGACTAAGGCCCTGCACTGTTATTTTACAACCATATCCTGAGTCTGTTAGTTTTTTTATTCTTTACTGCATATCAAGGGTTGAAATTGTGAGCCTTAGTGGACAGAGTACTATAAAAGCTGTGTAACTCGCTATTGGGGGGCGCACTCATAAGCAGTGTCGGTCCGGGTTACCTGCTAGGCATGCTCAGTTGCCTCTCATTTTCAATAAAGTTCATGTGTGAATGTCATTGGTTTTTCTAATATTCTATTTTAGCTGACGAATGGGTGCAGCAAGACCTGACAATTCCTTGAACCTTTCGAAGTGCTGCAAAGAAAAGTATTAAGTGGACTGTTGTTGGGACATTGTATGTTGGTCCGTCAAGCTGAGAGGAAAGCACTTTTAAAACTCAATTCCCCGCTTTCTCTTTCAAGATGGCTACTTAGGTAAAGATTTAACTTTCACATTATAAGTACTGATGCTTAAATTTCACCTTTAAAGAAATGTAATTTATTTAAAAGGCAGAGGTGGGGAGGGGGAGAGATTATCTGGTTCATTCCCCCATGGCTATAACAGCTGGGAGTAGGCCAGGCTAAAGCCAGGAGCTTCTTCCTGGTGTCCCATGTGGGTCCAGGGGCCTAAGCAGTTGGACCATCCTCTGCTGCTTTCCCAGGCACTTAAGTAGGGAGCTGGGTCATAAGTGGAACGGCTGGCTTCAAACCAGAGCCATGCTGCCAGCCCCAATGCCACCTTAAGTCTGAATGTTGTGGCTATGAAGGACAAATGTAATTGCCCTAATGTGATTACGCTTATACACATATGGGAAGATCTTACACTCCATATATGGGTATCTGTGTCATAAACAAAATGAAAAAATTTAGATATGTGAATCCTATTGAAATCATACATATATGCAACCTCCTAAGTATTAAAGACTAATGTAGCTCTGCAGTCTGATTTTGATTTCAGCAATTGGCATTTTCTTACTAGTTTTTAGGGTGTCTGGTTTAGGTTCCACAGCAGAGTGTCTTCATTTCATGGAGCAACATTTCTTCCAAATGTTTGTAAAAATCTATTATACATGTCTGGCGAGGCCCAGGCAACTTCAGATGGCTGACAAGGTCACAGCAGAAGGTCTGTCTCAGCAAGGCATGAGAAGGACAGCTGCAGTCCTCTTGGTGGTTTTAGGTTTGTTGGGACCCACACTCTGCATAAGAAAGCCGGAACTTCCTGGTGCTCCCGCTAATGGTAGCTGTATTGCTAATTTTAGGGAGGAGCGCTTAGTCTCATAATCCCTAAAATGTTCATTGCTTTGAAGAATTTTATTCAAGCCAAATGTTAGTGTAGGAGAAGGGATTGATGCTACTATATGCAAGATTGAGCTGTGTGTGGGAAAAAATTAAAAGACAGCAGGCTCCCTGTTATATACTTCCCACTAAAACAAAGATAAATAAAGATTACTAAAGCTTTAATTCAATAGGTGCAACAATGGTTAGAATGTCAACACTGTGGAATAGATCTAAGTGAACATTTAGATAAGTACAATAAAGAAATTAAAGTGTTGGGGCCGGTGCTTTGGCGTAGCAGGTAAAGCTGCCACCTTCAGTGCCAGAATCCTATATGGGCACTGGTTTGAGTCCTGGCTGCTCCACTTCTGAACCAGTTCTCTGCTATGGCCTAGGAAAGGCATAGAAGATGCCCCAAGTTCTTGGGCCCCTACACCCACACTGAAGACCCAGAGGAAGCTCCTGGCTCCTGGCTCCTGGCTCCTGGCTTGGGATTGGTGCAACTCTGGCCATTGCAACCAGTTGGGGAGTGAACCAAGAAGATGGAAAAATAGTGTGTGTGTCTCTCTCTGCCTCTCCTAATCTCTGTGTAATTCTGACTTTCAAATAAATAAATAAATCTTAAAAAAAAGAAATTAAAGAGTTACAGAAAGAGGGGAAACATTAAAAAAGAAAACATTTAAAGGGCTTGCTTTGAACGTTGAGGTTTCTAGTAAAGATTACATTAGGAAGGTAATATTCTAGCTTGTGTGACCTTCTGCATAGCTCAGCTGTACTCCAGGCTTTGGCTTGTGTGGGCAACCCATTGTCTTGCACCTGTCTTGCCCTGAATATGCCCTTGAGAATCAAAGAAATTGGAACTAGATGTACACATAGAATATAGAAGCAACATAAAATACAAGGTCAATAGTTCTAAGAAAATGGACAGCAGACTCGCCATTGTAAGAAGGAAGGATCATTATGTGACTTAAGCTATAAGTCTGGTGCTCGAGAGCTAGAGCCATGCCTTCAGCCTTGCTGTCTTTCATTTCTTCCTGCGCCAACACCTCTCACATCTCTGGGAACCACTGGACCACCTGCAGCTGGACTCTGGCACATGTCAAAACACTGGTTGTCATTACACAAGAATATAGTGTAGATAGAAAAATTCACCTCACATTGTCAAGGAACTCCATCTCTTGCAAATGGTTTTATAATATATTTTTTCACTGTAATTATTTGGCTGTTTCAACAAGTATGTCTATCAGGTGTGAGAACTGAACTTCCAGTCAGAATGTTTTCCTACGGTTAGCCATGTCTTCATCAAATGGAAAGCCCTGCAGCCCTGTAGAGGTCTCCACACTGCTGAGCACTTTCACATTGATTGTCTCCTCTCTCCAGAGCAAGCACATTCCCTACCCAACTTGAAGTGTCCTGAACCAGCTCAAAGGACTGGCTGAACTAGAACAAGGAAAGAACTGTATCTGAGTGTCCCATTAGGATGTTGGTGGAGCTGGACACCAGAAGTTGGGCCATGTGGCCACCTGGCTTTCAGCAATGGCAGCGGGAGCCAGGGCATAGGATGTACATCAGGGTGTAGATCACGCCATTTTCCTAACATCCACTTGTGGCCACATTAAGACCTCCCAGCTGCACCAGCCCCTGAGAGCCCACTCCCCACTGCCTAGCTATTTATTCCCATTCCACAGCTCAGATCAAATTGGAAGTAACTTATTTTGCTGAAAACACATGACATTTTATTCTAACACTGATTTTGAAGGAATTTCTCATTAAATCTTCGAAGATCACTACCTTTAAAAATATTCCTTTGTAACTTGCTGAACTTATTTTCGCAATTTAGTTTAACAGGTTTCTGGGTAATCAGTATTCAATGAAACAGCAATGGGTAATTAGTACTTGTTTTAGATGAATGCAATTTTAATTTTAATGAAATTCAGATAGATATATGATATAATATCAGCATCTTAAGTCATTTAGGTGTAACTACTAATTTAAATTGGGTAAAGGCAAATAAATGTGTCTAAATGTATACTTTTCTATATTCAACATTTTCTATATTCAACATGTTATTTGGGTTAGTTTATAAACTGTCTATGAAATAGTACAACATTGCTTAGAGTAACTCAGGCTGAAATTTGATGTTACCTTATTTAAAATTGTCTTAGTTTGGAGATCTTTTAACATTTTTTTTCTTTTTGACAGGCAGAGTGGACAGTGAGAGAAAGAGAGAGACAGAGAGAAAGGTCTTCCTTTGCCATTGGTTCACCCTCCAGTGGCTACAGTGGCCAGCACGCTGCGGCCGGCGCATCGCACTGATCCAAAGCCAGGAGCCAGGTGCTTCTCCTGGTCTCCCATGCGGGTGCAGGGCCCTAAGACTTGGACCATCCTCCACTGCACAAACAGGCCATAGCAGAGAGCTGGACTGGAAGAGGAGCAACCGGGACAGAATCTGGCGCCCCAACCGGGCCTAGAACCTGGTGTGCTGGAGCTGCGGCTCACTAGGCTAATCCTCTGCCTTCTGCCGGCCTTAACAGGATATTTCAAAATGTAAATCAAGGACACTGGCAGATGGAATACATCACAAGTCCACTAACCTTTTTTTTTTTTTTTTTTTTTGACAGGCAGAGTGGATAGTGAGAGAGAGAGAGAGACAGGTCTTCCTTTGCCATTTGTTCACTCTCCAATGGCCGCTGCGGCCAGCCACCACGCTGATCTGATGGCAGGAGGCAGATGCTTCTCCTAGTCTCCCATGGGGTGCAAGGCCCAAGCACTTGGGCCATCCTCCACTGCACTCCCTGGCCACAGCAGAGAGCTGTCCTGGAAGAGGGACAACCGGGACAGAATCCGGCGCCCCGACCGGGACTAGAACCTGTTGTGCCAGAGCCGCTAGGTGGAGGATTAGCCTAGTGAGCCACGGCGCCGGCTTAACCTATTTTTCTTTGACATAGAATTAGAATCTGATCCTCTGTTAAAGCAATGTATTAATCTATTATGTTCTTTTGATATCTGTTAAATTCTAATTGTTTGAAAACAACTTAGTTTTTATTAAGAGCTATGGGTTATTTAAATATGTGCTTATTTTCAAACATTTGAATAATCACCTTGTAACAATGATCAGATTTGGTCCATATTATGTCATGATGTTAAGGGATCTTATTTCAACCAGATATTTTGGATTTTGAGCCTTCTTGGCATTCTTGAAAGGCATTCAGAAAATCAAAAGTCAAAGTTCCAATGATTTTGGACTCTGAAATTTCCAGTAAATATTGAAATTCAATTTTTTTCCAGTTTGGGCCTAACTGGGAAAAATCAGACATATGTCTCTAATCTTGTAGAGACACCAACTAATCAGGCTATTTGGACTATATTAGAAGTACTGTCAAGATGTGAAGTGGTGCTAAATTTTAAGTTTCTGTAATATAAAATGATATTGATACAGATGTCTGAGAATTAAGAAGTCTAATGATCTTCTGTTACTAGACATCATGGTTATCTTAAAGAGAAAGCCACAGAAGCCTAAAAGGGCTAAATGCTTTGTAAAATCCTACAGATGCTTTCAAAAATACTATGTGAATTAAGCAAATACCCCTTGTTGGTGAATGAATTTATAATTTTAAACGTGGCAATTTAAAGTCTTTTGTCATCCACAGTTTTATATACGATTTGCTGCTCATAAAACTAAAGCGTTGTTGGTTCTGTGTTCAGCTGTCCTCCTATAGGTTCCGATGGAGTTTTCCAGCCACTTCCTATTATATTCAGTACTTTGGGATGGCTCTGCAAACAGATGAAGTCAATAATGTATTATAGGTACCAACTGAGAGAAAGTATGGCTAACTGAGGTTACTAAGAACAGAAAGTAATTCGAATCAATTGGTAATTTACAAAAGGAGTTAGATTTGTAAAAAGCTATTATTGAAACTGTTATATTGTTCTATTATGTTATGTTATATGGGTATACATATTGTATGTCTACATGGAAAATTTATTAAGAGTTTTATTTTAATTGGCTAATAGATAAGAGTGCCCATGGATTTGAAAAGGTAAAATTAAAGTTATATTTGATTCATGTGACCTGAATCTGTATCAGATGTTTTAAATTTGTTGGTGGAAAGAAACTAGAAACATTTTATAGGCTTGTGCTTAAGTTTGCTGGTTAAACAAGCTACACCATGTTAGATATTTAAGAGATGTTTCCAAAAACATGTATTCTTAAAATTTATAGAAGGCATTGGACCTTCTGTTAAATGTTTTCCTAAGTTGTTATCTAATGGTCGAAATTGCTTGCTAAGTTTTCATTTGATACGGCTATTGTCAGTAAGCGATCTGAGACTGGCACCCCCATTTCTCTACTCTAAGCCCAACTTGTTCTTTCATTTCTCTATTCACTTCAATGTAGGAAACTAATTCTATTCTGAAGGACTCTCCAAGATGCAAAATTTGATCTTCATATCTTAGGAAAAAGATGGCAAACATTTTCTGTAATAGCATAGCCAAAATGAAAGCTTAAATTATAATTTCATAGCTAGATTTACTTTGCCATCAGTGAAGTAAACAATAAACGGGGAAAACCTCCATTTCAGACCCAAAAGGGAGAGAAAGTTTCAAAGTAAGGACATAGCTTTCCTCATGGGCATTGTCTACCTCATAAAAACTACTATCAGAACATGCCCATGACTGTAGACTTCTAGTTTAGGCCACCGAAGAATAGAGATGGGACTTGAGCACCCCTTTGACTTGCATCCTCTAATCTGCTTTGACAAAAACCAGGAGGAAAAGAAAGCTAGGCATCAGAAGCAAAGTAAAGATAGCTCTGTACAGTGATCTGCTATCAAGGAGACCCAACAGGCCAATCCACTGCAGTGGCTTTCAATGTGGTAAGCCTGGGCTTCAGCAGAAGTCAGCATGAAGAGCCCTGGCAGCTCTACCAGCCAAGAGTTGGGTCACTGGAAATGGACCTGCCCTGGAGTCGAAGGACACCCAGGTCAAAGCCACAGACCTTGCTGGCTCCAAGCTGAAAAGCTCTTCACTTGGCCCAGCTTCCAAGGTGACCACTGCTGCTGAGGGGATGGCCAAGTAGTGTCAGTTACATTGCAGGCAGAACTATAAATTCCCTGTTAGAGATGCCACCTGCCTTTACCTGGCCAGCTCTCCTCCCAGGCCATCTAGGTAATGGAAGTCAACTGGGTGCCTTCCCCAAGGAGGTTCACACCTCCCTTAGGATGTACTCCATGAAGAGATAGATAGGTCTGGGACTTATAACTTACAAGGCCTTAAAGCCCACCTGATTGTTATCAGGCCCCTCCTGTCAGGCTGTATTTGCCTCTCAATCTGAGAACTCACTTAGGGCTTAGACAGCAGCTTTATTAGGTTCTCTAATCATGACCCTGTCCTTTGCATCTAGCCCACTTGGGCCTCATTCCTTTGTAATCATAGCCTCTACTCTAACACCAACAGATCTACTCCCAACCTGTGTGTACTGATGGGCCTCTCCCACACTTAATGTTGTATGATTGTTCAGAATTTCTCTACAGACAAACCCCGCTACCTGCAAAAGTTAAGTGGCCTTTCTCCCAGTCTTGGCTGGGATCAGCTGTAAGCCACATCCATCAAACTGTCTTCACAAGGGTCCAGAAAACCCCCTCATTTCCTCTCCTCTATGAAATCCTTTCATTACTTGGTTGATGCCTCTCTTAGGATCATTAGTTGCTATTCTCAATTGTGTACTACAGTGTCTGTTTAAATGTTTTTAGCAGGTGATAATGGAACAAATCAAGACCTTCAGCAAACCGGCTGTCAATCAAATGGTGCTAGAGGGATATACCCGGCTCCCCACCCAGGAGACAGCAGCTTGAGGCATCGCCCCATGTCAGCAGGAAGTAGCTCTAAAGACAGATCATCATCCCTCTACCCCTCCTGGACTTTTGGGACTAATGTAATCCCATACAACTTCTGGTTTATAAAAAACTAAAGGAGGGAATGTTAAGAAATTGGCGCAGTTTGATCTATGGTGGGATCTACACCTGATTTACATCCTAGGCCCCCTTCCCACCACCATTGCTGAAAGCCAGGTCGCCACATGGCCAAACCACCGGTGTCAAGCTCCACCCCCATCCTAATGGGATTCACTGCTCCTGATTCCCTGTCTGCCATCTGGCAAAGTTTTAAAAGGACCTGTTCCTGAACACGTGTTCGGCTTCTCTCTTCTCTCTTCTCTCCTGCTCACTCTCTCTAGCCTCCTCTTTTCCTCTCTCCTTTCTCCTCTTTCTCTCTTACTCTCCTTTTCCCTCTTTGCCCCTTCCCTCCAGGCTGCTGCGTTTTCCCCAATAAACCCTTTTCCTTACTCTGGTGTTTGCTGTGTTTTGTGACAGCCTAACAGAAATACATAACATCTGAGGCCTCCGGGCTCTCCTCCAAATCCTCTCATTTTTCATGGCTCTTAGAACACATGTGCAAATGCAGGAACTCCTATCAGTCAATATCCAATCAGAAAAACAGCAACTAGGAAATTATTTTTATAGAAATAACAACAATTATACAGGTGTTGGGAGAAGTAAAGTAAAAGCAGATCTGATGTATCTAGCACCAATGAAAAACCAGGAGTCCTCTAGGATTGGGGGCACAAAGCAAAATACTAGATCCTCAAGGTTTTGGAAGCTGACTGGTAGTCAGGGCTCAGAACTCCATGGTGGTGGTAGGGCGGGGTAGAGCTCATGGCTGACACCAGGGTGGCATACCTTTGGTATGATAATACAGTACTGTTCTGATTGACCGCCTGCCTGTAAGCCCTCCTAAGTGTTCCTAATTTTCACAGTGTAACAGGAATCCATCTGCGGAAGAAAAAATGGTACTAAATGAAAGATTAATTGAAGGTTTGTGCAGAGTCCTAGAGTCATTATCATAGATTATAGAAAGGATAGGGGTTTAAAGCAGACATAGGGATTAAGTGACTGCCCACATGGGCTCTTTCTTATCTGCCTCACACACAGCTAGCTTCCACAGCGGTAAATAACAGAAGGGCCAGTCACTTCTAATCAATCTTGGAAAGGATGTACCATGTTTCCTGCTATATTGCCTGGATCACCTCCGGTAGACAGCAGCTAAAATGCCTTCCAAAATCCCAGGTTCCGGAGTCAGCCCCTTGCATGTTTAGTTGTGATTCGCTTTAATAAAATCAAAATGGCTTCCACAAAAATTTGTACAACCTTTATAATTTCCATTTTAAAACGTGCCTCTGGCTTCCACTTTCTTCCCACTACCTTTCTATAATCTGTGACTTTCCTGTGAAGAGGGCCACAGGGAAAAGGACTGTGCCTTGTACACACTCAGCCTCAACTGCAATTAGCAGTGCAAAGCTAGGATATGGGATGGGAGTAGGCAAAAATCAATGACATTACCCTACTGCAGGAAAAACAAGTGCATTGGGGGGCATATTAGAATACTGGGATGATGACCAGACATCCTAGAATCCATCATCACATGAAAAGTCAGTTAAACGCATGGCAAAGAAAACTTTTTAGACAATCATGACCACCTTAACAGAATTTACTGTGAAACTAACATTCCAAAGGAAAACAGCTTGTCCGTAAGATTACATTTGTGCTTCCTTAAATTACCAATTAAGATGTGTTACAGCGCTTTAAACAAGAAAGGGAGTGGCCCTGAAAAGAGCCTTTGGGTTTCTGAAAGCAAGAGACTGTTCACTTGGAGCTGGTGTACTTGGTGACGGCCTTGGTGCCCTCGGACACGGCGTGCTTGGCCAGCTCGCCGGGCAGCAGCAGGCGCACGGCCGTCTGGATCTCGCGCGACGTGATGGTGGAGCGCTTGTTGTAGTGCGCCAGGCGCGAGGCCTCGCCGGCGATGCGCTCGAAGATGTCGTTGACGAACGAGTTCATGATGCCCATGGCCTTGGACGAGATGCCGGTGTCGGGGTGCACCTGCTTGAGCACCTTGTACACGTAGACCGAGTAGCTCTCCTTGCGGCTGCGCTTGCGCTTCTTGCCGTCCTTCTTCTGCGCCTTGGTCACCGCCTTCTTGGAGCCCTTCTTCGGGGCCGGCGCAGACTTCGCGGGCTCAGGCATGATGGGAACTCTCAGTGGAAACGCAGAAAACCTTCAGATGACTGCCTGTCCCTGGAGTCCTCTTTTATAGAGCTCCTATGCAAATAAGGTATGCTCAAATACCCAGTTCTGATTTGAAAGCAGATTAGTGATGTCAAATATGTAAAATAATTGCATCATACCCTCGTTCTTATTGGTCCTTTTGTCAGTAGTTAATTTCAACCAATAGAATCACCCGTTTTACACTTCCACCCACCGCTATAACTGGCTTCTTCAACGTCCCCTTGCACTCCGTGTTCTCTTTAACCGGTGAATCAGCATGTCTGGTCGCGGCAAGCAGGGCGGCAAGGCGCGCGCCAAGGCCAAGACCCGCTCCTCCCGGGCCGGGCTCCAGTTCCCCGTGGGCCGCGTGCACCGCCTGCTGCGCAAGGGCAACTACGCCGAGCGGGTGGGCGCCGGCGCCCCGGTGTACCTGGCGGCCGTGCTCGAGTACCTGACGGCCGAGATCCTGGAGCTGGCGGGCAACGCGGCGCGCGACAACAAGAAGACGCGCATCATCCCGCGCCACCTGCAGCTGGCCATCCGCAACGACGAGGAGCTCAACAAGCTGCTGGGCCGCGTCACCATCGCGCAGGGCGGCGTGCTGCCCAACATCCAGGCCGTGCTGCTGCCCAAGAAGACCGAGAGCCACCACAAGGCCAAGGGCAAATAAAAATAGCTCAAGACAGCGTGACCCCCCCCCCCTCAGGTGCACAAATCAAAGGCTCTTTTCAGAGCCACCCACTCTTTTCTGTAAAGTGCTGGAATACTTTTAAACGTCCCAGTATCCTGTTTTTATGCATCTTCATGGGTATTTATTGCTCGGTAGGTATTTATTCCACATGAGAGATAAGTTAGTTTGCTGAACCACTAGTTCATGTACCCCATTTATTAAAAGTACAAAATACAGAAATGGAAGTTAGTCTGGAATTGCTTTATGTGCAAGATATAGAGCTGTAGATTATGTAATACAATACCATACCGAGTTCTATAAAGTATCACTATGACCCTAATTGTGTACTCGGATAAGTATACAAAGAATACCTACTACACAAACCAAGGCGTGTGCTGCGTGTTCATAGACAATTGCTCTCAAGGAAACTCCAGAATTCGAGTAGAATGACAGAACAAAGAAAGATGTCTGCCCAATCACACTTCAGGCGGGATTTTTAAATTGTGCGTGTGACAGCATCTAAATTTTTCAAGAATTCTCTGTTCTTTTTCTTGCCAGAAAACGCAATTAGCAAGGTACTTTAAAGTCATCATAAAATTAAGCTTTGCCTTTATGATAGAAATTTAAAAGTAAACCAAAAAATGAGATACTCAGTGTTGAGGGAATGCAATTAAGTTCTCCCAGAAGTTTCTGAAGACCAATCAGATCTCAGCATGGGACTCATTAAAGCAAGCAGTTCTAGCCCTATACACAGGATTTTCACCAGGATGCTCTTCTATCCTCATGGCCCGCAAGAAAGCGGGGCCGTGGACAACCCAAGGCGGAGGACACCCGCGAGCAGCTGGCCACCAAGGAGATGGAGTGCGCGTCCAGCTGGCTCTCTCAAGCCACGCCTCCAGCGCGCGGTGTCCCGGATGGCGCCGGATTTCAGCACTGCCCTGGGCTTCCGGAGTTCCATCAGCCAAGCAGACACTGCTGCAGGCGGCCTGTAAGCCTCCCCCGCGGGGCCTTTGACTTGGACTTGGGAGCCTCTTGTGGCTTGTACCCGCGTCGGGGAGAAGGCAAACTCAGAGCTTTCATTTCATCTCAATTGAAAGGCTCTTTGCAGAGCCAAGCACTTTGTCAGTAGAAGCTATATAAGTGCATTCATTTATTTTACCTTCCCTGCTAAAAAAGAGTTTCTTTGCAAAGACTGGAATGAATGAGATCTGTAGACGTGAATTTTGTAACATTGTATCCAGTAAAGGTTTCATGATAACTAGCTGTGTAATGGTGCGTAACTTATTACTCAGCAAACTGCCTCACTTCTCTCTTCACAAGTGCTCTGTCAAATCAGACTGCTCAATTTGGTGAGGTCAGAATTGGGATGTGGCTGGAATGAATTCTAGGTAAATTGTTAAAAGTGAGGGTGTCATACTGATAATAGAACTTGCCTCTGATCAGCTCCATGGAGTGCAAAAGAAAAAAGAAAAAAAAAAAAAAAAACAGTACATGTATAATTCCTTGTACTGAGGCCAAAGACTAGTATAGCCAAATGATTTTATAAAGTTCCTTCAACAAAGTGGGTAGGCTTCAATAGCCTAAAAACCAAGCACAGACCTGTCTTTCAACAAGGAGAAATTGACCTTTCCTGCCATTACCTTATGACACTTATCAAAGTGTAAAATTCCAAGTGATGAACAAAGATTCAAATAAATAATGTTTCCAATATATAATTCATCCATAAAAGAACAATAAATAAACCTACTTCAAAGAAAAAAAGATTATTAAGTATATATGATACATAGTTTCTGAAAGGAAGAAAGTCGCCAAGACAAATTGAGATCAGAAAGGTTTATGTCCTTTACAATTGCATTGTAAGCTTTGGGTTATGTTTTGTATTGGACAAAGATAATTTCTATCTCTAATGGACAGAAATAATGGCAGTCATCAATATCCTCCAAATCATCATCGAAAAACACAGGCCCAGCGGCCTTGATAAATCGTGAAACAGAAGCATATTCCCCAAGACAAAAAGTTGAGTATGCGGTTTAGACTAAGCTTTCCCACAACAATGAAAGCGAATACAGGCCATTCTTTACCCTAAGTCTAGGATTTTCCTATGTCTTGACAGGGCTCAGAGCTGTCCTACACTGCCCAAAGACCTCTCAATGTCCTCACTGATCCCAAGGCTGCTGAAAAAATTGCTTCCCTACCTGCATTTTCCACCTTCCCATCACATGCTCACTGATGATGACTTACAATGATACTGGGGGATTAGGGCCGAATTTCCCAGGCCTGAAAAATGTGAGAGGACCTGCACCTTGCAGAACCCTCTGAACAGCCAAGCAAGTCACGGGACAGTTCTTGTGAGCCTTTTATGTCACAAAGGCACAATTGGAAATCAGGAGATATAACATGAACACCTATCAAAGAATGCATTCAATTCATCCACAAAGGAAACAACATGCAAAATGCCAATAGGCTTAAAGAGCATTCAGGAAATTACAGTATTTTTATAGGAAATTTATCTAGGAAAAGATTGTGGAATGTGATTAAGGCAAAAGTAATTCATGTGCAAAAGGTCATAAATTTGGGGAGCTATATATGTTCTACGGAATGGAAGTCATTTCTTTTACTACTAGGTAAAAGCCTATAAGTTATGCTGCTTGCCAGGCTACAACCAGCAACTTCACTAAGTGCATTTTATAACCCTTCTGGCTTAACATTCAAGTTTAATTTTATACATATATATGTGTGTATATATATATACATATATATCTTATGACACTTTTCAAAGTGTAAAATTCCAAGTGATGAACAAAGATTCAAATAAATAATGTTTCCAATATATAATTCATCCATAAAAGAATAAGAAATAAACCTACTTCAAAGAAATAAAGAAGGTTATTAAGCATATATAATATATAATTTTTGAAAGGAAGAAAGTCACCAAGGCAACATATATATTGGAGCAAAGCAAGATATAAGTCAAAGACCTCCTGCTGCAGCAGCCCAGAGCAGAGGCTCCAAGAGAGGAAGACCACTGAACAATGTTTCTTACACTATAAACCCTTCTTAGAAAAAAAAAAAAAAAAAAAAAGGATCTTACTTCCTTAATTCCATCTTCCTTGGCCTTCACCTAGGTTCCAGGAATAATCATTCATGGCCCTCATTGCTTCCCTAAAATGCCTTTGAGCTTCCAGAGTGATTTGTTTTCTTCTTCTTTCAACTATCACAAGGTACATTCTTTTTTACATGCATCGAAGTTTACACTTGGAGGATGCAAATGGCTTTAATAATTAAGTTTGGATACTGTTCTTCAAAAAGCTAGGCTCATGGAAAAAGCTGGATTAGTATAGAATCTCAAGTAATCTCTATCCACTGATCTCCTGCCATTGAAGAAACAGATGTTAATAACTTTTCTAGCTGTCTATCTTTTCTTTCCTTGACGAGTAGCAGTTTCTTTGATAGCTTCTCTTTGTTCACTTATGTGACATTACTTTTAATTAATTTAATTAATGCTTAATTCTAGTTTGAATCCAATATCTACTGGATTTCTGAAAAATAGAAAATGCCCATTTTGATTCAAAGGTATACTACCAATATTTGGTAAGGAGTCAAGAAACAGGACAAAGTAAGAATCCTTGCAGAGTGCTACCTATAAAAAGTAATGCAAGCGATATATGTCATTTTGAAATTTCCAGTAACCACATTTGAAAAAGTGTGAAGAAGCATGTGAAATTATTTGACTAATATATTTAATACCGACTGTCAAAATGTTATCACTTCAGTGTATAATTAGTGTAAAAGCATTATTATTGTAATATTTTACATTTCTCTTTTCAGCCTATCTTCCAACTTGGTTGTATTCTCTCTCAGCTCCCAATAAATGTTCATTGGAAACCATTTGTTCTGCATTTAGATCTCACAAACTTTGCTGTTGAAAAATTGAAATATTTGGGTTTTTCAAACACACCTCACACATCCCAATCACTCTCAGCTTTCATTTAACAAAAAAATGGAAATTTAACAAAGTAAATGACTCAGGACCATGGCAGTGTCTGTGCCCTGCAGTGCCAAGGTCATCCCTGGTATAGCATCAGTGGTTAAGCTCAATGTCTTATCTGAGTGAATGTTCCAGACACTCTCCAGGGCCACCCACCTGTTCCCAAGAAAGGGCTGGTAACTTCCAAGTCGTGTTTCAGCACTCTGGGCCTTTCAGTAAAGGGCTCTGGGATGACCGACGCTTCCCCAAGTGTCTGGGAATTCGCCCCTCACCTACCCTGTTTTCCAGGAGTCCCTGCTCTATATCCCTGACAGCAGGTCCGTGCCACTTAGTCTTGGATAGTCTTTTTGTACCTCAAACAATCCAGCTTTTCAGATTATCTACCCCAGCATATTACAGACTTTTAATATACAGAGCTATTCTTATTGCTCCTTTTAGAGAAAAAAAAAAAAAAACACTTTCTCTTAGGAGGAGAAAATGAGGCTCCCATATCGAAAAGGCCTTCCTTCTTCCAGGACAGAAACTTGCTTACCCTCAGACATGGGGACAGCAGGCAGAGGAAAATGGGAATGAACTTTATTTAATCCTTATCTTCTGTGTTACTTTCACACCACCAGCTGCCCTTGCCCAAACCCTATTTGGTTTTCATGTTTGCATAATTTATCACTGTTCAGTATATAACTAGTCTGTTTTGCTTCTCTGGGCTTTCATTTCTTTATGAACTCTGTTATGTCATGTACAACGAATATCATACATTTGTGTGTTTTTCCCTTGTAAATCCATCATTTTTTGCAGGGTCTGAGCCAAGAAATTTGAAAGATAGAAAGAAAAGGACCTTCTATGCTTTCCTGTTGTTTCTACAGGAGGTCACAGGCAATGGCCCACTTGCAAGTACCTCAAAAATCCAAGGCACCCTCTTAAGCTAACACAGAGTCCTGCCTGCAGGCAATCTGAACAGATCACAGTCTAAGAGGCTGAATAGAGGAGGGGACAGGGGAGGGCCTGAAGCTATGCTGGTTAACTCTCTTTTGTTCTTAGGCATATTGTATTTTTCCTGCTCATTACTGTAATCAGGTAGCCAATCCCCCCCCCCCACCCCCCGCCGCTGCCCCCATGATACCCACTATCCTGAGTGCTTGTTTGAGGCAGACTTTTGTGTGTGGACAGAACTTACCAGGACTCCTTTATCTAATCTGTGGACTTGGACAAGGGATACAATATAAAGAATTTTTTCTTTCTAATTATGTTATCTGTGTGGCATCCATTTTGCTTGGCTTTCTCCAACCCTGCTGTGGACAAACCAAATGTCCACTTTAGGACATCCAAATGGCAAGAAATTCAGAGGCCTCTGTGAAGTGAGAGAGGCCTCCAGCCAACAGCCAGTACAGAAATGAAACATAAATTTCCACAAAGAAATCCTGCAACCTGCTTCAGTGAGTTTAGAAGCTGCTCCTTCTCCCAATCAAATATTTAAGAGACCTCAAGTCTGGCCAGCACCTCCACTGAGTTCTTACAAAAGACTGGAGTAAGCCATACCTGCAACCCTGAAACTATGAGATAACCCGTATTCTCTGAAGCTACTGAATCACAGGTAATATATTATGCAGTAATAAATAACTAATCTGCTTAGCAAACACATTTGACATCTTCAAAAACCCACTCTCAACCCAAAAAATAGCTATAAGCAATTGAAACTGTAATCCGAAAGCTTGCACTAAAGAACTGAAAATTAAAAAGCTGTCCTATGAGTATAGTGTTTCACAGTTATGTAATCCTCTGCACATATACTATATTCTGGACTTGGACTGTGCCGGCCTGCGGCACAATGAACTGGGTTTTCCTGAAACAGAGAGTGGGAATGCGGGGACAAGGACGCAAAGAATGGAGCCAAGACAAGTCCTGATCAAGGCTCCTTTATTGAACAAATCCAGTAGTATTTAAACATGACCAGTTGTTTACAAGAAGGAGCACAAAAGATTTACATATCAAAAAGGCTTTTAAGGTTACAAAGAATTCCCAATAAGGTTCTTAATTATTGCTTACAAGGGTACAATAAAACACTTAGGTGATAAATGCAGGTTACAGGTGTGACTGATTATCTGTATCATCTCTTGTGAGAGGTTTAGGTTCTTCCTGCCTCTTCCCGGAATCTCCCCTAGCCTAATTGTCTGTGCCCAATTGTCTCCATTCATATGTTTAAGTGTAAACAAAGGGAGTGACTACCTGAGGCTGCCCACATTGGACAAACATTGCTCATGCCTTGTTGGGTACCCCAATAACAAAGCTTTATGTTGTCTTTTGGATGGACCTAATTATATATATTTGTGGAGTAAAATCAGATATTTTCATACATGTATACATTGTAATGGTCAGAATGAAGTAATTTGCATATTCATCACCTCAAATATTAATCCTGTCTTTGTAGGGAGAACATTAAATTTTTCTCTTCTAGCTATTATGAAATATACATTCATATTATAGTCCCCACTAATATGCAACACAACACCAAAACTTGTCTCTGCCATGTAGTATCAGTTGTCTAATCTCTTCCAATTCTCATGCTCTCCTCTCCTCAGCCTCTGGCAACCACTTCTCTACTACAGATCTCTAGGAGATAAAGATTTTGAGAGGTTTCCATGTGGGTGAAACAACATACTACTCACCGCTCCATGCTTGTTTCTCCTAACATAAGTCACCAACGACAGGATTTCATCCATTTTGGTGGCTGGCTAGTATTCCCTTCCATACATATACTGTATCTCCTTGATCCTTTACTTGGTAGGACACTGGTTGACTGCATATCTTGGGTATTATGAGTAGTGCTTCAATAAACATAGGAGTGCAGATGTCTCCACAGACTGAGTACTTTTCACTGGGGATATCCTCAGTGGTGGGGCAGGTGGATCACAGGGTAGCTGGACATAACCCTTGACAAGCGCTTGTATGACATGTGCTCAAATGCAATGCATCTAACTTATTGTGTCAGCAACCCAAATATAAATGACCCACTTTCCTAACACTGACACATGGAACTAATACATCTCATGTATATCTTTTTTCCCCCTAACTAAATAAATATGAAACAATCACTCTCTGAAGGCAGGGAATATACAGATACATCACAAAAGGAAAAGTAATAAAAATTGTAGTTTCAGAATACATTATCAGCACCATATATATATATAGTTACAGCAATAATATGTTCAAAGCAAGCACAAGATAGTTAATGAAAATTTCTTTTTAAATGAAAAATTTGTAAGAGTACCCTAAAAATGAGCCAGATATTTGTAAGGAAGTTAAACTCTCAGGCCTAAGAACCAAAAGTCCCTCAGGCCTAGGGAAGTGTCTACTACAGAAAAGCCAAGTCATCTGTTAATATGCACAGCAAATTATCTTTGTGCTGCAGGCCCCATTTCTTAAAGAGTGTAGGCAAACATAATCTAATCATTGGAGAACTCAATGTCACATGGATCCCCTACCTTATCTTAAAATCCAAGGAAATATAGGGCAATCCAAGGAACTATAGTACATTTAGAACACTACTCTCCTAAGGCTTTTAGGATTAAAAAACACACACACAAAAAAACAAACAAATGAGAAACACCAAAACTTTTATAGCTTTAAGACATTTCCTTCTGTATATAATCATATCACAGAATCAGTGCTGCACAGAAAACCTTAAAGAAACCATTTACACAGTTTCAGTCTCTTACATTGTTACAATTTGGTAAAAACCTGAAAACATGCATACATAATGCACTAGAAATACCTGTTGTTAAATTCCTCCATGTACGAAACAGAGTAGTTTTGAAAAGATTTAGGAGAAACAGAACAAAGCTTTTCACTCAGTGCCAACACCTGGACCACCCTCCCAAAACACAAGCAGATATTGGGGCAAATTTCCCAATTCTTTATATGAAGTTTATGCAAACAATTCCTTACAAACCTAAACGCTGATTGGACCAATGTAGCCAATACATTAAATGTAAGTGAATTAGGAATGCCCAAAATTATTTTTCCATTGGTTGCAGAAAAGTGCAGCCAAAGGAACCCAATAAACCGATTTAGAGCATGCACACACATAATTTCACTAAGAATTCTTTCCAATAAATGTTTTTTTAGAATCCTCGAAAATAAAGGTGGATTGATGCCTTAGAACAGGAAAGGCAGGGACAGAAACACCATGGCCTGGGGGAGGCGCCCCCCGCAGCAGCTCCCACCGCTCAGCGCCCGTGCCTCTGGGGGTGTATTTACCAACCAACCAGATTGGGAGAGTTCTCCGCCATCTTTTCCAAGTCTCTACGTCGGAAAAGCTTTCTTCCTATTATACCCAGACCGGCATTTTCAGTTCAACAACACAAAGCCGGACTTTCAGATTCCCTTGCGGGGCGATGAAAGCCCGATATTAAAAAGCCAACGTTTCCAGGCTCTTGAAGTTCGCCACGCATACCCGGAGTAAAACACAACATTCCTTACGCTTAAAATCCTGTATTCTGGAAAACCGCGTGAGTAAGCTCCATTCTCTGAAGTCCCTGAGAACGACAGCTTACTTAAACGGATGACGCTGGCACACAAACAGGTTAATGAGGCAGAAAACATGGCGGCCGAATCCAAGAGCAAAACTCGAAATTTCTTCCCTTTCGAACACACTCGGTATTGTGCAGTGCAACATTGTACAAGCCCAAGAGGCTACGTTGTTAACATTCTGTAGCGTTCCAGCACGTAAACCTTTAACAAAGAAACGAGTTACCTAGGAAATGATCTGTGAAAGAGGCAGGGTCCACGGATTGAAATTGACCAATCAGAAACCGGTCCCAACAGCATAAACCAATCGAAAGCAGTGAGAGTGTTTCCGGAAGTCACTGGCATTGTCCACAACCCAATCAGAGCGACCCTTTTCTTATATAAGCCGGTCGGCTGCCGGGCTCTTCGCGGTTTGTGCTACTGAGTAGTGATGGCTCGCACGAAGCAGACGGCGCGCAAGTCGACGGGCGGCAAGGCGCCGCGCAAGCAGCTGGCCACCAAGGCGGCCCGCAAGAGCGCGCCGGCCACGGGCGGCGTCAAGAAGCCGCACCGCTACCGGCCTGGCACGGTGGCGCTGCGCGAGATCCGGCGCTACCAGAAGTCCACCGAGCTGCTCATCCGCAAGCTGCCCTTCCAGCGCCTGGTGCGCGAGATCGCGCAGGACTTCAAGACGGACCTGCGCTTCCAGAGCTCGGCCGTCATGGCGCTGCAGGAGGCCTGCGAGGCCTACCTCGTCGGCCTCTTTGAGGACACCAACCTCTGCGCCATCCACGCCAAGCGCGTCACCATCATGCCCAAAGACATCCAGCTGGCGCGCCGCATCCGCGGGGAGCGGGCCTAAGAACCCGGCCGTGGGCTCACCGGAAACCCAAAGGCTCTTTTCAGAGCCAACAATTTTTCTTGTAAGGTGCTGTAATGCCAGGTTATACTGCCCATGATGTGCTAACCCTGGGAATGCTTGTGGGGATAAACCTCAGGAAGTTTCATCTGCACCCACTCTGCCCAATTTCGACAGGGCTATGCAGTTCAATGACATTTCACTACGCACTGTTAAGTCATTTAGCCTCAGCTAGTAGTACCAGTGTGCTGCTTTGTTTGCTTCAGGGTGCCTCACTGTATTTAAATGCCTGGAATATGGCCGAAAACTAAAGCTACGCCAGTAACCCGGGGTTGACATGTAAAGGACATCCCGTGAGGAATTTCGTCTCCTTTGCTGGGTTTTAATGCGCAGTGACTGAAAAAAAGGAACAAGAGCTACAGTGGCCTTGGGCCGAGTGCTCTTGGGGAATGCAGGAATCAGGCTTTTCCAACTTCCTCCGCTAACTTCACGTATGACTACCCCATTTTATTATTCAGACGAGATCTGCCGGCTGTATCCTAGAAGCACGGTTACTTCCTAGCCTTAATTAGCACATATTCCCTATTCTGAAAATAACAGGTTTTAAGATTTTTTTTTCCAGTCGGAAGGGAATTAGGAATTTCATTCTGAAAGTATACAGGCTATCATTTAAGAATGTTGACGGAATACTAAAGTGTGGGAATAATCTTGTGTCTAAACATCCCAGAAACTCCCCAAATGGGAAGGAGATATCTTTGCTAGGTTGTTATCAACATTGAAGTGTGCTGCTGCCCATCAAATAATCACTAAGGAAAGATCAGTGAGGTGATGACACTCCAACAAATATGTAAATAGATACATAGACCGAGAGCCACAGCAAGAATTCCTAGTGATTTTATAGAAATTTTTGTTTTTGGAAGCCTAGGAGACTACAACTTGAAAGCTCTGAATTGGGGAGTCAGTTCAAATGCCTAGCTGTCCATAATTGAAATAACTGGAGTTGTTGATAGCTGTAGCATAGTGATCCACTACTAGGTGCAGTAAAGGCATTCCGTGTTTGTAGTTACTTTTTCTGCACTCTGAGATCTGGCACAGTAAGTTTTAGCTTGTGTTTTTATCAAAACGGCTGGACTTTGAGACAGGAAGATATAATGAGCACAGAAAACATATTTTTTATATTGATATTATCCACCATAGCATGTAGCTTACCTGAAAAAAACAAGACACTCAGAAAATTGTTTAATCCAATTGACATTTACAGTAAAAGATGGAGGTGGGCATTCAACCCAATGATTAGAACTCCCACTTACACTGAAAATATACAGTGGCTGGGAAAGGAAAACTTGCATTTCCCAGGCGGGGCTTCTGCTCCAGTTGTGGCTCTTGACTGCAGTTTCTTGTTTAATGCAGACACTAAGAGGCACAAAATAAGTCAATTAAGTGGCTTCCTGCCACCCAAGAGTGGAATTACATCCCCACCTCCCAGATCAGACCCCAGCTCAGCCGTAGCTGTTGAGAGCATTTGGGGAGAAAGCCAGTGGATGGGACCACTCTCTCCAATTAGGAAATCAAACAAACAGAAGTTGCCATTTATTGTATTTATGTATTGATTAGAATTCATTAAGTTTTGAGTATAAAAGTTACTGGCCGGTGCAGCGGCTCAATAAGCTAATCCTCCACCGCCGGCACACTGAGTTCTAGTCCCGGTCGGGGTGCTGGTTTCTGTCCCGGTTGCTCCTCTTCCAGGCCAGCTCTCTGCTGTGGCCCAGGAGTGCAGTGGAGGATGGCCCAAGTGCTTGGGCCCTGCACCCACATGGGAGACCAAGAGAAGCACCTGGCTCCTGGCTTCGTTATCAGCGCGGTGCGCCGGCTGCAGGGGCTATTGGAGGGTGAACCAATGGTAAAGGAAGACCTTTCTCTCTCTCTCACTGTCCACTCTGCCTGTAAAAAAAATTACTTATATTGAAGATCAAAAGTCATGTATTAGTTTATGCATCCAAGTTGAATAGTTATATACTATTCTGTACACTGTAGGGCCTGCACTGTGGTGTAGCAGGTAAAGCTGCCACCTATAGTGCTGGCAGCCTATATGGGCACCAGTTCAAGTCCCAACTACTCCACTTTGATCCAGCTCTCAGCTATAACCTGGCAAAGCTGTAGAAGATGGACCAAGTGCTTGAGCCCCTACATGCACTTGGAAAACCTGGAAGAAGCTCCTGGCTCCTGTGTTCAGATCTGCACAGCTCTTTCAGAAAAGTGAAATGCCCAAAATGATTCCCACTAGCTATTACTATTTTAAACAAACAGCATCAAAATAGTCCTCATACAAATAATAGCATGCAGATGTACTTTTTAAAAACTGAACTTCTGCTTGAAAGAGCTAAAAAGATACAGGCTAAAAGGCTTTTCTTCCAGAAGCATAAGTAGGATATAAAGCTTAACACAATATATCCCATTAAGAAAGCAAACAAATGAGGTGAAGAGACATTCCAGCCATGAGGAAAGAGTGGCAATGGGTCTCTGTACTATATGGAAAGTCTGGAAACTTATACACACAGGATATTTACAATCTGCAGAATAAGGAAGTAAATGGCATTAAAATAGTTCTCCGGGTGGGCACAGCAGGTAAATTGCTGCTTGGGGTGTTAGCATCACATCTTTGAGTGTCTGGTTCCAGTCCAGGCTCCATGCTTCAACTCCAGTTCCTGTTGCTACCACCTGGGAGGAAACACATGACCGCCTGAGTACTTGGGTTCCTGCCACGCATGTGGTAGCACAACAGGGGGATTCCTGGCTCCAGGCTTCAGCCAGGCCCAGCCCTATTTGCAGACTTCTGGTGAGTAACCAGTGGTTGGAAAGATCTCTCGCTCGCCTTCCCTCTCTCACAGGAACAAGTAAATCCTTTAAAATGTTAGTTATTGTGCTCACTTCAGCAGCACATATACTAAAAATGTTAGCAACCAATGTTCTTGATGTATAATATGCAAAGAACCTGTAAAAAGTTTTTGAAAAGATTGAACCCATGTTTATTTTATGGCTGAAGTGTTTGAAATCCATGTATTTTCATAATTGGCATTTCCCTTGAAGGTGAAGATCCGGCAGACTCAATGCTTAACCCCAAGCAAGATGTGTAACAAACAATGTCAGTTTGCAGGACTCAAAGTGAAACTTTATTTCATAAACTTTAAGCGACCCTGAACCTAAGTGTCATTGATAAAAAGGCCACATTTTCTAACCTAGTATCACATACTCATAAATCAAAAAAAAAAATGCTAAATTGCAATTATGTCTGCTAAAATAAACATGTAACACTTCCTAACCCAGAGCCAGATAGATCTGTATGGAATTCGGATTTTGATCTGTAGCAAAACTGAGCTTTCCCAAAACAAACAAAAAAGTAACCCAGTTCAGTCTCGTGTGACTCATTTATCTCCATCAGTTCACAAATCTCGGCTTTCACAAACCATGCCAGCTTCTCAAAGGCTTTGCTGTCTCCCTGCTCACTCAGTTTCTACTGAGCAAGTAGGAAAATGGAGCTAACCACCCCCAGGTCCCCTGGATCCTGCGACGTAGGAAATAGGTACATGCACATATGAAAAACTGTTAAACCTTTTATTACATCATAGCTCAGCTGCCTGTAAAGTTAGGAAACACAAGTCTCCAAAGACAACAGAATGAAACCCAGGGGCCTCGAAGGGGGGAAAGGAAAATCAGGGCGGGAGGAAGACCTGCAACTGCTTTTTAAGCCGCTCTGCGATTGGTGCAGCACGCCTCAGGAGCCCACGCAATCAAGCCGAGACAGGTTCTGATTGGCTAACTCCCAATAGCTTTGCGAACCCAATAAGAAAGAAAACTTCACAAAACCAAAGGGGACTCTCCCTCTGACGTAAACACGTGCAGGCCCAAAAAATAAGGACACACGCGCGGCAAGACCCAGGTGCACAGAACCAGTGAGCAGCTGAGTCTGCTGCACCCGGACAGCTACGCCAGAGTGAACAGAGACAGAGCAAGTCTCCCGGGGACACACGGCCGGTGCCTGGCAAGGGGCGGCGGGGCGCCTGACCCGGAGCCACCTGCAGCTGGCAACGCACAGTGCAGGGGCTCCTGCAACTCAGCACGGAACGCATCAGCCCCGCTCCCGACAAGCGGCCAGCACCTCCGCCTCGGAGTGCCCCGTCAGAAAAGCAAAGTTTAGTCTACAGCGTCTTTACAACAAAAAGAGGGCACGTCAGGAGCCTGGCGCATGCGCGTAGCCTCTCAGTGGAAGGAAACAGCCCAGCCAATACAACGCAGGGCGCCAATTTTAAAGACCGCGTAGTAACTTTTTCCATACTTGCCCATCTACAGTTCAGCTCTTTTCCACGACATCTGTGGGTGGCTCTGAAAAGAGCCTTTTGAGGTTTTGCAAAGCGAAACGTCCCGGCAGAACTTCATTTCTTCTTGGGAGCCGCCTTCTTCGCCTTTGTGACCTTGGGCTTGGCTGCCTTGGGCTTGGAGGCCTTGGGCTTGGCTGCCTTGGCCTTGGCTGGGCTCTTGGCCGCCTTCTTGGGCTTGGCCACCTTGGCCTTCTTGGGGCTCTTGGCCACCTTCTTGGCCCCTGCGGCGGCCGAAGGCTTCTTCGCCTTCTTCGGGGTCTTCTTGGCAGCCTTCTTCGGGGTGGCGGCGCCCGTCGCCTTCTTGGGCTTCTTGGCCGCCCCGGCGGGCTTCTTGGGCTTGGCGGCGCCCGCCTTCTTGGGCTTGGGCTTGGCCTCGCCGGCCGCCGCCTTCTTGTTGAGCTTGAAGGAGCCCGAGGCGCCGGTGCCCTTGGTCTGCACCAGGGTGCCCTTGCTCACCAGGCTCTTGAGGCCCAGCTTGATGCGGCTGTTGTTCTTCTCCACGTCGTAGCCGGCGGCCGCCAGCGCCTTCTTGAGCGCGGCCAGCGACACCCCGCTGCGCTCCTTGGAGGCGGCCACGGCCTTAGTGATCAGCTCGGACACCGGGGGCCCGGACGCCTTGCGCTTGGCGGCAGCCGCGCCGGTCTTCTTCACCTTCTTCTTCACAGGTGTTTTCTCCGCAGGGGCGGGGGCGGCAGGAGCCACGGGGGCGGTCTCCGACATGTCTCCGGTGGGCCAGGAAAGCCAAAAGTGAGCTGAGGCTATCGGAGCAGCGTGTCTCCGGCGCCGGCGGCTGGGGTTTATATAGAGAGACGCTGCGTGGTGATTGGTTCCCTGCTCCTGCGCCGAGCGCTGGAGCAGGACTCCTCGGCACTGCCTTGTGGCTGTGTTTGTTGCCTCTTAAAAAAGAATAAAAATATAAGAAATCGGCGCACGAAATAACTAGGGATTTAGGGGAAACGGGTCCAGGAGACCTCAGGCTTCATTTCTGCTTGGTTTGCTACACTTCCTTTCAAATCCGACGCCCCAAAGCTTCCCTAAATCCCCCAACTCTCTTTCAAAGTTTGGTCAAATTGAGACAACTTTCAGGTTTTCCTTAAAAATACTGCTTCTTCCTTTATCGTTTCCAAGGATTTTCTCCAGGGCATTATTCACCGACTTCTTACCTTCTAAACTTTATATGCAGAAACTGATTTTTACCAAAAAGGGTAGGAAAATTCGGTTTTTTCGCGGAGGCAATAGCACAGTCTCTCCCACGAGCTATTTACACCAACCTCTAGGAATTGGCACTAGGGCAGAAACTTCTACGTACAAAAGGGATCATTATTTCAGATTATTTTCATTTTTTTCTCTTAAAAAGTATCTCAATTGCCAGTGTGTAAACTGGGCTTCATCCCCATGCTTTCAGGATTTACAACATTTTCACAAAGATTGGAGGAGGCTGCTGACTTTGCCTCATAGATAAACAGTTCTAAACGGATTTTTAGGATCTACAATGGCCATTTGAGATCTACCACCTCCTCTATAAGAAATAATTAAGTAATACAATGTCAGATACACATGAATTTACCAGGCATGAGCTGCAGAACATTGAGAAACCACACGTGTTCATGTATCATGCTTTAAATTGGAAATGATTTAATGACAGCCAGCCTGCTTGTTACATTTCCCCTCCCATAGTCTCAATAGAAGTTTGCATATATTGCCCACAATTACAAACTGTATTTAAAATATAAATTGTGACATTCCAGGTATGGTCACAAAGACTTGGAATGGGAAAAATTTCTCATTTAAATCACATTATGAATTTGATAACTCTCTGAACTTTTTACCAAAAAATATGGACTACGCAGTCACAACCCAAAGTAATTAGCTGAATATATCCACCTAAGGAACTGAACAAAACATTGTACGGGTGAGTGACTTCACCACGAAGTCTCTTTTCAAAATAATAGAGCTGTGAGAATTAGGTGATTGTTGGATAGCTGAATACAAAACAATATTCCCCAAGAAATAATCAGTGAAAATGAAACCTCAATGTTTGTTACCATATATTAGCAACAAAAGTAATTTGAAGATAGGTTTCTTCTACTCAATGCTATTTCCAAAAAATTTAATCTCTCTTATATATATCCAATAGTGATGAAGACTTTATCACATAAATCTGATAGGACTATCAACATTAAAGATGTCATTTGTCTGCACTTAATTAATCCTATAAAAATCACTTGGTTTGCTTTTAAAAAACAAGGTTATTGGCTTGCACAGACTGGAACCAAGTCTCTGGGTCTTACAACCATGCTATATATATGTGTATATATATGTGTGTATATATACACATATATATATATACAACATATATATATATATAACAACATACATAATATAAATACCGTCTACAAAGGAGGTAAATTTTTAGGATTGGATCAGCAACATTCAGTGACCTCCCAGGGGAGGAAACTCACAAGTGTCTGGAGAAAGGGACTGATCATTAGCCCTACCATCACCGTCAACACAGCATTATACAGGTCCTTTTCCTTTTTGGGTTCACAGCCTTATACTAGCCAGACATAAAAACAAATTTAGATTTAGATTTTAAAAGTTATTTTGTTTATTGCTATAATCATAATAATCCTTGTGCAGTACATGTTCATCAAGTCATAGGTGAGTTTATTCATTTAGAGAATGTCAACCATTACATTCTTGGCTACTTAGGGCTTCAGTGAGCAGGAAGGCACTGGGGCAAAGGGCCATCTCCTTAACTATTTGCAGATACTCTACACGTCCTAGAGGGCAATAACCAGACTCCTTTTCACCAGCCACATTCTTGTCCACATGTGCACAGGCGGGGTTGTGCTGTAGATAATAATGCTGCTACTGCTTATTTTCCCCATAAGCATCATGGACAATGTTCCTGAATGTTGACTCCACTTCGATCATGAAAAATCTTACCTATTGCTTGGTAGCTCTCAAAAATATTGTGTTTATTACCTTTGAATGTAAAATATATGTATAAGTCTATCCTAAAATAGGTTATCCACCACACTGAAACTCAAACCATTCATTTATTTTATAGATATACAAAATAACTGAGAAAAAACTAATTAGATAAGTAATGGCTATCTAATGTATAGCTTCATGTTCCATTTTGTGTCAATGCTTCCCCACTCCCAAATAGTAAAGGACTCTCAGAGATACGGGCACTGCTCACTGGGCATGCTCAATGGTACATGAGAGCTATGTAAGCATTCCAAAATTCAGTGACTATCAAAGGCTTCCTGATTCTTCAGGATGGAAATCATGATGTGGAATCAATGTGAAACAAGGCAAAGATATAATAAGTAAGCTAGAGGTTTGTGTCACAGATATTTCCTGAAACTCCTGGAGAAATCACATGTACGGTAACTTCCTACCAGGTGACTGTCCCTATGGAAATGGGCCCCTTGAAACTCATCTCTAGGAACAACTCTGCTGGTTTAATTTGATTTCCTTAAAAGAGCATCATTGCTTTCAAACTTCCAGCTTCCATTTTACATGACTATCTGTAATGTCTGGCACAAACAGAAGTCTGCTGAGTTTTGTCATACTTCAAAAACAGTCTAAATCCTCATCTCCTGCAGACCACCTCATCCTCTGGTATCCCCCTCCCTTCCTCAATCGAGAATGGTGTCTCCTCAGGAAAAATCCCATCACAGCACAGCCCAATGGAAGCTTCTGCAATGACAAAAATATTCTGTTATCTTCGGCACCTAATAAGTAGCCAGTATCCACATGTGAATATTAAACACATGAAGGTGACTGAATGATGAAAGAAATACAAATTTAATTTTTAATGACTTCCATTTAAGCAGGCAGCTGTGGTAACAATTCTTTTTAAAGTTGAATGAACACACCAGGCATTTGGAAATCTTGTTAAACATGCAATATCACCAGTAGATTTGGCATTGAACCTGAAGTTCTCCGGGTCTAACAAGCTTGTAGGTGATGCCAAATGCAGGTGGATATGGCTGCTCCCCTGAACAACATAGGGCAGCAGCTAGTTTGATCTCTTCCCTGAAATGAGTCTTCTCTTTCCTTAATGAGACTGAGTTCTTGAGGGGGGGGGGGGGTGACCATATTTGAAACACCTGATATTTGCAACTATTTTAGAACTTGGCGAATGAATGGAGTGAATGAATGATGGTTATGTCTCTTTGTCCACAGATAACTGGGCCTGGGCCCAACCCCAATCAGAAGTGAATTCTGACTCCAAAAAGTGAATCTTTTTTTTCTCTCTCTCTGCCTTTTTGGTGAGCACCAGCAGAGAAGGGATTATAAAACTTACCTCTGAAGGGCACAAAAGGCACTGCTGTGAATGTGTGGGAAGTGCCAGGAAATGTTGGGATTGAGTCAAAATATCAACCTATGATCTGTGTGTAGACTATTGCTACAGTTTTAATTCCAACACTATTTCACATAATTTATCTGTGTGAATTTACTAATGCTGCTCATTTGCAAGCACGTATTCACCACGATACTCCATTAACCCTTTCATGGCACAGGAACAGTGGTAGGCAGGCAATGTCATAAGACTCAAAATGAGGCGCAGCAATCCCACTCACTAGAGGAGATTCAGTCTCCACGTCTTCCCCACAGTGCACATAGTGCCATCAAATCAGCAAACAAGTAGAAACGTAATTGATGTCGGCTTTCCCGCCTAAAGCTTCCTCTTTATGATAAAGCGACCTGTATGCATATGCCTCTAATACAGCATTTCACGACTGGCCAGGTGTGATAATAAGCATGAGTAGATTGTCAGAATCAATAACCTTTATACTTTTCTCCAAATTATTACCTAAAAATTGCCTTGGTTAATCTGACATCTCTCCGTTTGGTCGACAAGCGTCCCGTCACCGTCTTTTTGTCTTTAGTGACAAGACTGACGAGGAGTCGTGCACGGAGTCGTCTGCGTATCCACAGACACAGGCCTGGCAGGGGCAGAGAACAGCCAAGCAAACAAAGGAGTCCGGCGCCGAGCAGCCCTTCCCCCTCCTTCGCCAGCCCACCCCCCGCCCTGGGCAGGAGGCGGGGACACCCGGAGGCTGGAGAGGCGGGGATCCAGGACTCGTTCCCGCCCCCGCCATGTCGGTTTCCAAAAAGGTCCGCTTCATTGATATATAAGGGGCTACAGGCAGCGCCGCTGTTGCAGAAGCTCGAAGTCGCTGCTTCTTCACCATGTCTGGTCGCGGCAAGGGCGGGAAGGGCCTGGGCAAGGGCGGCGCCAAGCGCCACCGCAAGGTGCTGCGCGACAACATCCAGGGCATCACCAAGCCCGCCATCCGCCGCCTGGCCCGGCGCGGCGGCGTCAAGCGCATCTCGGGGCTCATCTACGAGGAGACCCGCGGCGTGCTCAAGGTCTTCCTCGAGAACGTCATCCGCGACGCCGTCACCTACACGGAGCACGCCAAGCGCAAGACGGTCACGGCCATGGACGTGGTCTACGCGCTCAAGCGCCAGGGACGCACGCTCTACGGCTTCGGCGGCTGAGCTGCCCCGGCGGCCCGAGACCCTCCACCCAAAGGCCCTTTTCAGGGCCACCCATCTCATCACAAGAAGGGCTGTTTACGCGACCGACAAGGTAACGTCCCGAACTCACTGAGTGGCCCATGACGCGCCGATAGCTTAGCGACGCGCGCGTTTGCCTTTGTTCGCGGCGTTGGCGGGTGTCGCCCAAGATGGCGGGTCCCGCGCAGGAACAAAGGGCGGGCACGCGGCGCAGGCCTGGCCCGAGCCTGGCCCGAGCCTGGTGGCCCAGGGCGAGCTGCTGTAAGTGAGGCGCTGTGCCAGTGGTTTGATCACAGCCAAGACTAACCCGATACTCTGGCAGGGCATGTAGCCCTTTAAGAAAAGTCCTGGTATAGCCCCGCATTTTAAGTGCGCCGCTAGGTATTAAGCCCAGTCCTGTAGTTTTGGTGTATTGGGGTTTTAACCCTTGCCTGAGGGTCTGTTGGTGCATTCTTAAAGGCCAAATTAAAAATGGCATTACTCCCCAGAGGCTCCTCTTTACCTAGGATTGTGTTGTCTTGGTAAGCTTCTGTTAATAACAGATTTCCCATTGAATCAAAGGTAAAGGAATAACCCCAGTCTATCTGAATGTCTCGCTAGTAGTTTCTGTGGCTTCTGTGCCAGCTTGCGATCTTTTTTTGATCTTTCTTGTTAGCCCTCCCTATACTGTTAAACCTTTATTCCTGGCCCTGATCCTATGTTCGTCCTGGTTTTTCCTAATAAATTCTTGCACTTTGTGGTAGATCCTCGAGTCTCAGAATGTGTTGTAAATAAAGACCTATAATCCAGGCACCAAAAAGAGAAAACACCAGTCCTGTAACCTTATTATCAAGGCCCTGTAGTGACCACAGATAATCACACGCTACCCACATTCTTTCAACTTTATAATCCGCCTTGCATTACAGTAGATAGAGCAACTTGAAAATATTACCATGCTATGTAAAAATACATAAATATCTTCTGGTTCTATTGTCTGCATAATAAGCCCAATTCTTGTGCTTTATCAGACACCTGAATGCCACCATCTCATGTACTCCTTCCCCACTAATGAGCAATTTCTACAGCAATGCATGTTGTGAATAACTTGTCATACTAAAGCCTTTTCATGTCAAACTGTAGGTTTTATGTATTTACCTTCCACAAATAGCCCTCAACACTTTTGGAGAATTTCCTACACGTTTGCTTTAGAATTCTACCTGATTCTCCCAGGCAAAAATCCTGTTTGGGATTAGTCTGTACTACACAAAGCACACTTTACCTGCTCCTAGCCCAACCTGACAGTTCTCTTATATGGCTTTGGAGTTAAATGTTGGTAATGATTACTGCTTAATTTCTGCTCAGGATTTCTTAAGCCTTGGATAGTGTCTTTTTAGTATCCTCAAGACCTACAAAAATTACAGGCAATGACTGAGTAAATGTAATTACTGAATCAGTGAAACTAGCAAGCTATCTGGGCCAAGAATAGACTTGAATACAAATAACAATACCTCTGCTGCCTTAGAACTTTCTTAAGCAGTTTCCTTTACACAAATGTTGCATTTCTGACTGCCAACCATCTGTTGCAGTTTTTAAAATGCAGATTGTGAACTATTTTGTCGGTAATAAAATTAATAGGCCCCAACTAGAGAGAACAGAATAAAAAGGAATAACCAAAGTATCATGTCTGAGAAAAGTGAAAACTGTCATAAAATTTTAGCTTGAAGTGCATATGCTTTTTTTTTTTTTTTGCATGCTTAGGGCTAGTTTATAAATACTCCATTCAATAATGCTGTAACACAGAGTTGCATCAGTGAAAAAAAACTGGCAAAATCTACCTTTTGCCATTCAATTTATCAGATGGTGAAAACCAAAACAGAATGTTCCATCAGAGCTTTAATTTTTAAATACGATTGTCACATTGGGAAAATGAAATAAACACAGTAAAATAAACTGTACAAAGGCAAAGTAGAATAACAAAAAATATTTTACTAAAACATAAGATTTACAGAAGTTTCCAGACAAGCCATACAAAATGGTCACAAGCTGTTTTGAAGGGGGGAATCTACACTTGACAGCAAAGTCACAATGTTATTAGTGAGGGCTGTGATGTTTGTTTAATGTTCCCATTTTGGTTCAAACAATCAAGCTTGTCCATCTACAGAGTCTAAATTGTTAGACTTGGCTAGAGAGCATATTCTAAAGAATTGGTTAGCTGCCTTTAACCAATGCAATTAGATCACCATAAAGGGGGGGGGGGAGCCCATAAAATTAAAATAAAACATACCTCCCCCCTAAAAAAAAATAAAATAAAATGAAGAAAAACACCCACACCCTTGCAGCTAACCCTGACAACTACCTTCATTCACAGTGCTTTATACTTAAACCATGATAGGGGAAATGAATAAAAGCAGAGGGGCCACTGCTTTTAAACGTTTCCACAACAATCCAGATGATACTTCTAGCCTCTGTTCATGCTTTACAACAGCGAATCAGGACAAGACATAGATTTGCTAATGTGCATTTAATCACCAAAGGACTGAAGATGTCTGGGCTTTTATTCTGTAATATTTCTAAGACTGTGTCCATTAAATGCAAACAAAAAGGAAGAAGTCTTGGCAGAACAGGAGAAGTGATGCATACTTGATGATCAGATTGATTTAAATATTATTCATGGCATATAGCCTAGTCCATGCTCTAGCTGTTTCTATGGCTTGGGCTTCATTGGTCTTCCACTGCTCCGCTACGTCATTTGCTAATGGATCATCTGGATTGGGAGCACTTAACAAAGCCTGGATCGATAGCAGAACTGTGCGGATCTGCAGTGCTGGGGACCACTTATCTTTCAAAATATCTAAACATATTCTTCCCAACTTGTCTACATTAGGATGATAAATTTTGGTCATGAAACGTACTTTAGGGGCTGCCATTGGGTATTCTTCTGGAAGGAATAGTTCAAGTTTAAAAGTCCCTCCCTCAAAGGGGGAATCCTGGGGGCCAGCAATGACCACATGAAAATAGCGGGCGTTGCTCTCATCTGGTTCTGCTTTAATGCCAGGAACTGGTTCTGCCAGCAAACGCTGGGTTTCCTTGATGATCCTGCGGGGCAGCCCAGCCATCTTGTCAGATCCCGAGTTCGGCCTCTAGTCTCGTCTCCGGCTCCGCTCGCCTCACGCACGAGTGGAAGTCCCCTGAAGTGCATATGCTTTTATTTTGCTCTAGCTTGGTTTTACTCTGGAACTTCATTTTTTGTTTTTGTTTTGAGAGAGAGATTTATTTAGTTGAGAGACAGAGGGAGAGACAGAGAGGTCTTCTATCTGCTGGTTCAGTACCCAAATGACTACAATGACTAAAAATAGGCCAATCTGAAGCCAGGAGCCAGGAGTTTCTTCTGGGTCTCCCACACAGGTGCAAGAAGCACTTGGGCCTTCTACTGCTTTCCCTGGGCTGTTAGCAGGGAACAGGATCAGAAGTGGAGAAGCCAGGACTCCAACTGGCACCCATATGGGATGCTGGAGCCACAGGCTGGTGGTTAGCCTATGCCACAGTGCCAACCTCTACTGCGGAATTTGAATGACAAAAATTGTGACAAACAACCTGCCATGTATTTCCATTGTGTATTTATAATATGTCAAGTTACACAGATACTAGCCTCGCTTACTAGACTTCACATATCTCCATTTTTAGCCTCTTGGAGCTAGATTGTAGGTATGTGGCCCCAGCTTCAGAAATCAGTGACATGTTTCAAAGAAAGACCTCTCCTGGAAACAAGCTCCTGCTAGGAGCTTCTGGGAAAAGAGACATCAGAAGGGCCAGCTTTTGGTCATGGGAGCTTCCAGCTGAGTCAAGTTCTGGTTCAACAGTGGTGAATATTGTGGTTTTTGTTGTTTTTTTTTGTTGTTGTTGTTGTTGTTTTTAGATATTTATTTATTGTATTTGAAAGGCAGAGTTACAGAGAGAGGGAGAAACGGAGATCTTCCGTCTGTTAGTTCACTCCCCAAATGGCTACAGTGGCCAGGCAAGGCCAGGCAGAAGGCAAGAACCAGGACCTTAATCCAAGTCTCCCATGGAGTGGGAGGGGCCCAAGCACCTGGACCACTTCTTTCCCAGGCACAATAGCCAGGAGCTGGATTAGAAGAGCAACTGGGACATGAACTGGTGTCTATATGGGTTGCCAACACCGTAGGCAGTGGCTTAACCCACTAGGCCACAACACCAACCCCAGTAGCCGTACAGCACCAGGCCAGTTATACAGCAGTTGTGAGTGTTGTCTCTGGAAGTGTTTTCAGTTATAGCAGGAGCCCTGCCAAGATTGCCACCATCTATTGGGTAAATCTTTAGGTTACGAAATGCCTTAAATGTTTTCTGATAAAATGGTGTGTATCCTGGGGATTTGGAGTTGTGTTACATTACTGATAATGAAAGGCCTTATGCATTGTTGTTGTTGTTGATAGGATAATGTCTTCTCTACCATCACCAAAGAGGCCCATTTCTTCCTCTTTGACTGACTTTCTCCTCTTTGACTGCTTCCTTCCATGGTAAAATGAACTTTGCAAATGTGATTAGGGATTTAGAGATTAACAAATGATTGTGGGACCGGCGCTGTGGCCTGAAGCACCGGCATCCCATATGGGCGCCGGTTTGAGTCCCGGCTGCTCCACTTCTGATCCAGCTCTCTGCAATGGCCTGGGAAAGCAGTAGAAGATGGCCCAAGTCCTTGGGCCCCTACACCCTCATGGGAGACCTGGAGGAGGCTCCTGGCTCCTGGCTTCGGATCCACACAGCTCCAGCCCTTTCAGCCAATTTGGGGAGTGAACCATTGCTCTCCTCTCTCTGTGTGTAACTCTGACTTTCAAGTAAAAAAAAAAAAATGAAATGATTGTGGATTACATGAGTGGGCACAGTATGATCATAAGTGTCTTTTTTTTTTTTTTTTTTGACAGGCTGGGTTAGACAGTGAGACAGAGAGAGTTATAGACAGTGAGAGAGAGACAGAGAAAGGCCTTCCTGCCGTTGGCTCACAGAAGGCTGAACGGAATGGCTGCTACAGTGGCAAAGCCAGGAGCCGGGTACTTCCTCCCAGTCTCCCATGCCGGTACAGGGACCCAAACACTTGGGCCACAGCAGAGAGCTGGACTGGAAGAGAAGCAACCAGGACTAGTACCAGGCACCCCAACAAACCCAGGGTGCCGGCACTGCAGGCTGAGGATCAGCCAAGTGAGCCACAGCGCCACTCGTAAGGGTCTTTCTAAGGGGAAGGCAGGAGGGTCAGAGTCAGAGATGGGCAGGAGAGACTGTGAAGCAGTTTGAAAATGGAGCAAGAGGCCACGCTAACTGCTTGTCAGTTCCTGGAACATGGAAACATTTTCTTGCCTTGAGTCTTCTGCAGTTCTCTATCCTGGAACACCCTTGCCATGGCTTCATAGCAACCTTCCAATGCCAGTGCCTCCACGAGGAGTTCTCGGCGGCCCTATCTAAAATGGCAGCCCGTTCCCCAGTTGCTGTACCATGGCTGAGTGTGTTTCTCCCATGGCACTGAGCATCTGCATTCTCCCTGCATGAGAACAAACCTCAGACCCATCAGGACCTCATGTTTTTGCCATGCCCAGTGAGAAAGGAGCAGAGCCCACAACAGATTCCCTCAGCCATCACTATGTTCGAGGCTATGCGATAAGGTTGCATGAATATGTTTTTCAAAGTGTGCCTTGAGTATCTAGTACATGACCCAGAATGTGAGTGGAAGTGGTAGGAAGAAAGCATGCTCCTAACTTCTAGTAACTTGTAGCTTGATCAAGAAGTTATAAAAAGAGAGAGAGAGAATAACAAAGGGGTGGGCCTGCAACACCTGCATCCCATGGGGGCACCAGTTCAAGTCCAGCTGTTCCTCTTCAGATGCAACCCCCTGTGAATGGACTGGGATGGCAGAAGCGGAAGATAGCCCAAGTACTTGGGCCCTTGCCCCCGACATGGGAATCCTGAATGAAACTCCTGGCTCCTGGCTTTAGTCTGACTTAGCCGCAACTGTTAGGGAGTCAACCAGCAGACGGAAGATGCCCTTCTCTCTCTCTCTGTAACTGTGCCTTTCAAATAGGAATTCAGACATGAGAAAGAGAGTAGTGAGAAGTGAGGTAGCACCAAGTTTAATGAAGAGAAATACAGCTGATAGGCCAAGCAGCATCTCAGGAAAGAACTGAGCTCCCAGTTCATTTTGGACAGGAGTTCTTTTGGATGTAGGTATGGGTTCCTGTTTCTCCTCTACTCCTCCTCCCTCTTGTGGGAAATTAATGGGTGGAAAACTCTCCAGGGACCTCATCAGCACAGTGTCACCAACCCTCATTAAGCTAAGTTAGGGTATAGAAATAAAAAGTAGGATAGGGCCAACGCTATGGTGCCGCAGGTTTAACAAAGGTCTTCAGTGCTGCATCCCATGTGGGCTCCAGTTCAAGTTCCATCGGCTCCACTTCTGCACCAGCTCCCTGCTAATGCACTGGGAAAGCAGCAGATGACCCAAGTGCTTGGGACCTTGCACCCATGTGGGAGATGGCCAGAGACCAGCTCCAGCCAGTCCAGGATCCTCAAGGTGTCAGAGGTATCGGCGCTCGAAGAAATGAGAGACACACTCACAGCAAGGCTGATGGCACAGCTCTGGCTCTCGATCACCAGACTTTATTTTTATATCATAAGTCACATAGTGATTCTTTTTTCTCACAATAACAAGTCTGTTGTCCTTTTTTCTTCTAATTATAATTTATTTGATTTTCAAGGGCATATTCAAAGCGTGGGTTACAATCACAGACAGGCCTCGAGTGCTGCTGAACTATGTAGAAATTGACTACACAAGCTAGAATATTACCTTCCTAATCTAATCTTCACTAAAAGCCCCAAGGTCAAAGCAGTCCCTTTTTTAAAAGGGACTTTGTAGTTCTTTCTGTAATTCTTTAATATCTTTATAGTACTCATTTAAAGGTTCACTTAGATCTATTCCACAGTTTGGACATTCTAGTATTTGATATTCTAGTATTTGACATTCTAGTATTTGACATTCTAGTATTTGTATCATACATTAAATTAAAGCTTTAATAACATTTATATTTATGCTAGTGGGAAGTATATACCAGGGAGCCTGTTGCCTTTTAATTCTTTTTCACAAACAACTCAATCCTGCATAAAGCATTAACCCTTACTCCTACACTAACATTCTGCTTGATTAAAATTCTACAAAGCAATGGACATTTTGGAGGTTGTGAAGCTAAGTTCTGTTCCCTAAAATTAGGAATACAGCGATCATTAGTGGGACCACCAGGAAACTCCAGCT